GAATGAAGGCACATAAAGGCCATTGCTCTCAACGGATTTTGATCACGATGGCTCACCTCTTCCTCCGCAGGCACCCAGTACTGCGCAAACCGTTGGGCATTGAGGTCCCAGAGGTTGAAAGTGACGCTCAGGGGCGTCGACTTCTTTACCTCCTTGTGCTCGTAGTTCTCGCCCTCAAAAAATTGTTTGAGTCTCTGGTGAACACAAGCCGACGCTCAGCGCCCCTTCAAGCGACTGCGAAACTGGTGTTCGGACCCCAAAACGCAAAGCGCAGCACTTCGCGCATGGCTGAAGTACAGTAGTGCTAGTGCTAGTGTTAATGTTAGTGTTAGTGTTGGTGTTAGTGCTCGCTAGTTTTTGTTGTTGTGTATAATAGTGTTTTTGTTTTACATATACTGGCGGAAGCTTTGTGTCTGTAGTGCAAACATCTCCACCTGCCAGTGCTTTACTTCCCGCACGCAACGTGCTCACAGACGGCATGGTGGCGCACGAGGATCTGGATCTTACGTCAGCATGCGGGTGGCCGTTGGTGTGCGGGAGAGCCCCGGAGAGATGTGACGCAAGCGACACCACACGACACGATGCGATACGATGCGACACGAAATAGCCTGACATGATATGACATGACTTGATTAGATTCTATTCGATACGATGTTATGTGATATCATACGCCAGATGGTACGAGACGATACACGCCAAAGGAGCGCCGCTTGCCAAGAAGGCGAGGAAAGGTGTCTTGCGCCACGGGGGATGCCCGCCTCCCTTCCCGCATCAATCGGCCATAACTTTCAGGGCTCCCAGGGGCGGGCCCCGCGGCCACGGACGGCCCTTCAGGCGCGCCAGCCCTCCGGGGCCTTCTGGCGTCGTGTGGCGGCGCCCGGCGTTCCCCGGTGGGTTTCGGAAATTCTGTCGTTTGCTTGTCAAGCTGATTGCCACGGTCTGGAACCCTAGATCGTCGCGCCTGGCCCTGTGCGCCTCTGCGACGAGATCTGACGCTCGATGTGCCGTAAGGGCCGGGCTCTTGGACATGTGCCACCGGTGGCCGTTGTGAACCAACTGCTGGGGGTCGCACATTGGCGACGACAGCATTGGGAGGGGCAACCGGATCGCGTCCAGCCGAGGACAGAGAGCCGCAATCTTTTGCACGCGCCCCAGGGGGCCCAGCGCTTTCGGTCTCACCGGAATTCACGTTTGCGAAATGAGCACCCTCGCGATTGGCACCAACTCCGCACCGAGGGAGTTCGATCGAATCCACAGCGTTTTTCATCTAACCCACTGCCAAGACTGGCGGGCACGGGCGCGCCTCTGCCTCCCCCTGAGCCCCGGCCCCACCTCCCCCCTGAGCCCCTCGTGACATTGGCAGACAACTCCCTTATAAAACAAGGACTCAGATGGTTGCAAAATAGGCAGGGACCGGCGCAAGACATCCCTACCGAAAGACAATCAGGGCGCTGCTCGATCGATGCCGCGGGTCGCAACCGCACCGGGGGCCACCGTCGCGGGATCGCGCCCTCACGACAACGCACGATCGCCGCCGAGCGGACCGACGAGCCCGCAGATCGCGCCCCCGCCAATCCCCATCCAGAATCTGGAAAGCCCTCGAGTCCCTCACCTCGTTTCCGTACTCCGCCATGAACGTGAAGTCGTCTCCCGGGACGGGGAACTTCACCCACTGCCCTGCACCACGACACACACGCCACGCTCAGCATCCGCCCGCCGCCACATCGCCTTGATGCGCCTCAATCGGTGGGCGCCCGCCTCGTCGCTGATCGCAAGATTCGAAGCACCCACCTTCCTGGTATCGCCTTATTTCGACGTCCCCCCTGACAGTGTCTATCACCGTGTAGTCCGGCGCCTCGTACCCCGCATTGGGGGTCGTCGAAGCTGGCATGGGGGACGCCCTGCTCGTGACTGGATGGTCCGGGGCGCCACTGCCGCCAACCGCAGCCAGGATCAGACCCCAAAGTGCCGCCGCGACCGCCGACACTGGCACCCAGCTCCGCGCCATGTCGTGCGCCCGCCGCCCGCTGCGTCGAAGAGCCTTGTCGCGACGACAGGCGGCCGAAGCAATGGGCATTTATTGCGGGGAGGGGTGCGGTACAAGAAGCTGGAATCCTGGACACTGCAGGGGATCAATCAATGGGCGCCCGTGTACACCGCCTCTGTGTCCAAATGCTCTTGGCGATCAATCAATAAACGTCTGTGTGCACCGTGTCTGCGCAGCACTGATGTGTAATCGGGAGGGGTGGGCACGAACATCCGGCAACTCGCGCCGAGATGCCGGGGCGGCGTCCCGGCGCAAACGCTCACTGATGCGGATCGATCAGTGCTGATGACATTTCTGAAGACATGACAGAGGGTCGTTGTGACCCAGCGCTGGGCGCAGCGGCCGACGGACGCCACATCAAGGCCTGCCGGGATGGCCTCTGGGCGCTGTACATCCGGTCCTGCAGCGCGCACGCGGGGGCTTAAGCCGATCACGGAACGTTTTCTCGAGAGCCTCAGCAGAGAAATGGTGCACATCAAGACGAGGGCGAGGTCTTCTCGCGAACAAGTGTCGGGTGCTTGGGGATTCGACACCAGGAATGTGGGAAGCGACTCGCCCATGCGGCCTCTCCCCTGTCTCCGGCATTCGGTGAAGCGCGCGTGAGATTGGGAGATGAACCCCTTCTCGTGGCATCGGCACTACTCATCGGCTTAGGTGTTGCCACAATGCGCTGGACAAATGCGCGTCCGGTTGCATTGTTTCTCGCCCCGGATTAGTTGTGCGTTCGCCGGGCAGGTTGCGCTGTATCAAGTGCTGGCCATCAGATCGGCCAAGCTGTAATCCTTCAAATTGCCTTCGACATGACAAAGCGGCGCCCTTGCACCTGGTAGGCGATGACGGGCGTGTATGCATCCAAGAAAGTTGTCAGAGCCAAACGCCGAAGAATTGCATGTGAGACTTCTTCATGCAGTGGTGGAGCCTTCACGGGTGACGTTTCAGAGAAGAGCTGGTGGGGGGCCCGCATCTCATAGTCACCGGCAACCAGCAATCAGTTGTGCTCAACCATGATGATGCATCGCGCGACCTACTGCTGCCACACCTTGGACACAAATTCTTACACTCCAACGATGTGAGAGCCCGAGGCCATGTTAGGTCTCGTTTCCCTTGCCGGATAAGCTTCGTACAGGGAGACCCAAACTGGGGCTAAACTAGCAGGTTGAAACATCAATATCGCACTCACTCGGGGTAGTGCTATATACAGTCCGGAGGGAGGGGTTCGCCCATCACTTTGCACTGTGACGTTGCATTTCGCTGTGACACCGCCCCTGCGATTGATCCAAGGAATGATCGTGCCCCCGCCAAAACATGATGGATTCAAAGCTGGGAGCCCACCCGCCAGCCCACAAAGGTGAGGGCAGCCGCCAGGCCTCCGTGCGGGACCAGCCCAGGGGCCACAGCGGCGAAAATCAAAGCGGAGATCCAGAAAACCCACACGCCGGCACACGACTACCATCGTCCTCACCAGCCAAGGCATCGGCAGCTGCAGCTCACCCTTTCCGAAATTGCGGGCCCAAGGGGGGCAACATGGGTCCAACGGGTCCCCTTATCTTACACGTGTCCAATCAAGGCATTAGGCCAAAACGAACCACCCCCAGAAACGGAGAGTTGCCACGGTCAGCACTATGGCAAGCTGCCATATGACGCAACTCATCTTTGGTGTAGAATTGTAGTGGCAAATTCCCTCGATACTTAAGGCTGAATGCGGTTCAAATACAAGCCCAAAAGCGTTATCCGTTTCTGTTGAAAGACAGACGTTGCAGTCTGTACGCTAAGATCTCGGCTCGCAGACTGTTATGTGCACCATGCTCACCCTCCAATCTATCGCCATGTGTGGGCAACGGATAGGCTGCAGGTCGCGTAGATTTCTGGGAAAACTTTGCCGCGCAAACAGGGCAAGCGCACTGGTACTTGAGTGCTGCAAGGTGTCCATTTCAGCTTGCAGACGAAGGCGTCGATCTCATGGGCAGCCGTTGACATTCTGAAACAATTAACTACTCGCCGACTTCAGCTGGGCAAGTTGGGCTTTGGCCTCCTTATCAGTTGGGTAGATTGGGAAAGCAAGGAGCCGACGGGACGTGGGTATTGGGGCGTGGTTTCCTGCCCAGAATGTGGCCGGCACGGGCATGTCGGCATGTGGCGCCGCATGTTCAAATCGGAGCGCATGGCGAAGCGGTTGTACGCCCAGGCAGCGATGCGGTTGCCGATGCATTGGCTGGTGTGCACGGCTCCCTGCTGTCGAACGCCCTACTCTCGTTTGTGGTCACTGCTTGGAATTGGGCAGCATTGCAGCTGTTCCTTTTGCGCGGTTCCTTATCGGCTTCACGAAACCCCGATTGAATGGCGCTCTATATTTTCATATCTGCAACGTGCCATATCGTGCATCTGAGCACCGTATCCTGATTTTTCCCTGATCACATTTCACATATCCGAATTACGGATGTTTGCGGATTCCTTGCCATAAGGTCTGCGAATCAGATTAATTACTCTCAATAATGACACAAACCCGGGTTTGCCATGCTTGCCCCATTTCGAGCTGAAAATGGGACAAGCATGCAGCCGCATGGCTATTTGTTGCATGGCCCAGTGTCTCCGCAATAAAGGAGAATGGAACAGAGCATGGATCTTCACAAAATCCATATCGCGTTTTCCACAAATTGCTGAAGGGCCCATTCCATGACACCCAACAGTGGGAAGCCTTCTTAGAAGTATCTTTTCAAAAAACAGAGTCACAAGTGCAGCGGACATGAATATATGCTATCAGGAGAGGTGCTGGGGGACAATGGGGTGCCCAGTACGGGGTTCCCAAAGCCAAAGCATGTCTTCTGCTTCTGCAACCCATGGCACATTTCGAAGCTTTGCTGGTTGCCACGGAAAAGATTTTTGCTTTTTAGGTGCGCACCTGCCCGTCCACTGGTCACCAATGTTGCTTTTGATGTGACACTGTGATCCAGTTGATGCTGTATGAGAGGGGAGGGACCTATGATCTTCAGTGTGCTTTTCTCGCTTGCTAGCAATGCCTGGCATGTGTTCATGCCAAACGCCAGCCGCCACGTGCCACAAGTGTTACCCGCAGTTAATGCAATAACTACGTGACTGAGACAGTATTTGAGAAGGCTCTGGGCATCAAGCATGTAGCAAGGTCTGACCAGACAGGTGGCGAGCGGATAAAATGACTCGATGCGGGGCACAAAAAGCGTTGTTAAATGTATACACATCCCTCACTAACTACAATGTGCAAGGGCACCGCTTTGTCCTGTCGATGGCAAATTTGAAGGTTACAGCAGAGTTGAGCAAAGGGAAATGCAAAGCACTGGGTTTTGGTACTTTGGTTCAAGTGGCAGGGCTTGTGGCAAGCTGAACTGAGAGCCGCCGGCACTGTTTTTAAGGTGATGATGATGGACACCGACTATGGAATGTGCTGTACGTTTGGTAAATTTGGTACGAAGATGACATTTGCCTTACCGTACATTGGTTACATACTTGCTACATGTTACACTTGGTGTACAACTCTCGTAGTAACAGGTGACAAACATGCCCAACATGCCAGCACATGCGCCAACCTCCCATCAAGCAGAGCATCGTAATTCAAAGCTGGGGGAGTTGATAAGTGGCTTCAATTTGAATGTCACCAGTCAATTCCTCCAGCTTCGAATCAACTGTGTCAGCGGAACAAGCGGCCGTCCATCTTCGGACGCGCATATTTGAGATGTTGGACCGCTTTCCCGCCCCTGACGTAACGCGACAGATGGCCCATTTTGCTTCCCTCCCCGCCCCGCCCTTCGTTGCCGCCAGGCCTGACCGCACCTCAGTCACTGAGGCTCAGTGCGCGTTTGCTGCAATCGCGCCCACACGTTCTCAGCATCTCACACGACCAGCTTTTCACTGGCACGAGCAAGCTCGGCACGAAGCCACAGGAGGTGGCCGTGGTAGCCCTGGCCGTGGCGCAAACGCCCAAACATGCAGTACGGCCCCCCTGCCACGTGACAGCCAAAGTGCCTCCGCCTTGGGCCCAGGATACGCGCACGTGGCGCATCCCGCCCCCCCCGATCGATTAGTCATCCCCCCCCCCCGGCTGCTGGGCCGAATCCGCCCGTGCGAGCGGCTGGCTGTTGGATGGGCTTTGCCCCCAATCCTACTCCCCCATAGTAGGCCCATCACCTGTGCGTCGGTGTGGAAGATATTAACATAAGTCCCCAACACCCCAACAGCCCCTACCCGCACGCTGGGAGCTCCCCCACCGGCGCAGGCCCCGCTCTTATGCCGCAGTAGCGACCGTGTTCGGGATGGCTGGCCGGAGGGGCGGCATGCCGCTGACGGGCCAGCGGGAGGGCGTGGGATCGAGGGGCGAGCGGGGGCCCATGGGCGCAAGGGCCGCCCGCTGGGCCGCCTGGCCGGCCCCGTCGGACGGTACCGCCGCCTCAAACGTGGGTCGGCTGCGCGAACGCCGCCGCGCTCAGGCCCCTGGCGCGGTTGCCGCGGCGAATTGCGCCTCGCCGCCCTCGAGAGGGCTTCATCAGCGATCGGCAAACGCGTACGAGCGGTCATGGCTGGGCGTGCGATCTGCGGTTGTGGTTGCGGGCCGATCGCGCGGCGGCGTTGTGGGAGCGCTCGCGCCGTGGTGCCTCGGGCGGCGTCTGCTTTTCCGTCGGAGTGTCGTGGGGCATTTCTTCGCTGTTGCCGAGCGTTGTTTGTTTGTGATGTTCGCAGATTCCGGAGGCGTCGCTGGCGGCGTGGACGGAAGATTGCGCGGTGGGTGCGCCGGCCAGGGGCGGCCCTCCCCGGGGACCTGAACGCGACGGCGCGCCCGCACCACATCCGCGACGGGCGCTGTGGCCCAACGCCCAGGCTCTCGCGCAGATCGAACTGGACACAGATTGCAAACGCCGCAATGATTTGCCTTTCCGGCCTGCTGTGCATTTGCCTGTGTCTCGTCCCGCCGGCTTGAGAGCGTCTGGCTGCTGCGCGGTGTTTGGAGGCAGACAGACGCGTGGCGTTGGAAGGGGCTGTCGCGAGGATCGAACTGGAGACGGATTGCCAAACATGGTACCGTGATATTTTCCTTTGCCGGCCTGCTATCCCTTTGTCTTGTCCCGCTGGCTTGAGATTGTTTGGGTGATGCGCGGTGTTTGCGGGGAGCGGCGTGGCGTCGGAAGGGGCGCGGCTGAGGAAGGCCGCTGTCGACGGAGGCGGGGTCAGGGGGGTGCTGCGGGTGGTGGCCGTTGCTGGCCGGTGGAGGTTGGATGAATGGTGGTCGTCCCGTACTCGGCCGTACCTACGCTTGCACCCAGTAGATGGTTGGCCAGTGCGTCTCGATGGAAGGCGGCGCCACCAACAGATGGGCGGAGTAGTGTGGGAGAAAGGGGGGCAGGCGTAATGTACGCACTCCGACACTCCCGGTGTCGATAATCCCAGTCTCGGGGTGTCGGTGTATGTTTGGTTTGGAAATGGAAATGCTGACAGCATTCAACAATGTACAGCGCGGGCCCATCCTGTATTAGGAGCTGTACCGCCAGGGTTGGTGAATTCAATTAACAGCCACCGTCGCCGTTGATTCGGTGGGCGAAGTGCTGTGTACTGAAATCCACAAACTACTAACGAGCCCGAAGTCCTACGCAGACACAAGGGGTCCTTTGCAATTAGGTGCGGTCGCCCAAAAACTGGGCAGTGGGGTTGCCCCCGCAGGGATGTGACAGTCTGGCAGACCCAGAGTATTTCCCTCTCCCATACAACGATATTGTAGATGTCCCCATTATTGGGTCACACGCAGTGTATTGGACTTCTTGCTAAATATGACGTGCGTTCTGTATGACTAGTTTGCCAAAATATGACAAACCAGTGTCCTCCACATGTGCAAGGCAACAAAGGGCACAATTCCACCAACGTCGTTTGATCCAGAGTTTTTGATCTCTGCCCCTTAGTTAGAAATCTGGTGTGCCTGCAGGCAGGAGGCCGTTCACGTATGGAAGCCCCAGGTTTGGCACTTGCCATGCTGCGGCTTTCTGAATCACAGCAGTGCAATGGCTCTCAGGCACTGGGCTCTGCACATCAAACAATGGTAATTGTGATGGCAGCACACTAAGCATATTAAGAGGAAACACGGATAGAACATGGCGAATTTGCCGAACTGTCTGTTGCGATGCCGTTTTGGACTAGAATTTCATTTGCTTCAGGGGACATTGACCAGGGAAAAGATTTGGATCAATCTGTGAAAGAAATTTGTGGCTCTCTGGAACTTTAGGTCAGTGTCATTTGGGGTACGCAGGGCTTGGGTAGTGTGATTGTAAGGCACAGAACGAAGAGATCGCTGCCAGACTTTTGTTGGAATGTTTTGGCCACAAGATTGGACTCTGTGCAGTCGTTGGTGCCAACAGGCTTGTATTGATCGCCAACACCAGAAGCTACATCAAAGCATTTTCTACAGGCAGAACTCCTATCGGGTGGTTCGTATGGGGCCAGCACTGTCTTCCAAAACTTGTGAAACGAAGGGACAGGCGTAGCACCACAGCAGCAGACAAGCAACAGGCTGGATGATCGTGTTGCTAAGAGGGCACTTTACATGCTTTATTCAGGATTCTTGCTGTGGAACTCCCATGTATGGGGCCACAGACGAGAGCACGTCCTGGACAGACTGGGCACTTGAGTCCGCCTGCCGAGCTCCACAGTACAGGTATGCTCCTAACCCCTTTTGTTCCAGTTTTGGTTTTGTTTGCATCATGGGGAGCAACTCTGCACCACAGACATTGCCTTGCAGCTGCCTTGGAAGCATTTGAAGCATATCCTCAATGACAGGGGTGTATTCATGCAGCATTTTATTGCCACAGCCAACAAAACAGTTAAGCACAACAGCTTGTTGAAAGCGCCAGAATAATGATGTGAATGGTGTGTGATAGCCAGTGGCTTGTTTTGGGAGCCATGGTGTGACTGCTGACTACTGTGGAATTCGATTCGGCCCAATTGCTCGTCCTGGTTTGGAACGCTCTTCTGTGCTTGTGGTCGGTGGCACAAAGCATAGTTCCTGGCCAATACTGTACAAATATTAGAATAGCAAATAGTGTGTTTTGAGAGTCTCACGTAAGTGGGTGGAGATTTTAGCATTGTTTGACCTCAGTGAAGGCTGAGAGGATCTCTTTAGCTGGCATAGCTACAGAGAGGCAAATTTTGATTGTGGCTATACATGGTGGAATACAACGAGTGAGAAATGGATTGGTGGGCTGGGCTTCTACACGTGCAAGCATGCAGGTCCATCAAGAATGTCATCTGCACCATTTTTGGCACAGAAGCAGCACATCAATTGACAGAATTCCTGCCTTGAGCCTTTGCATGGAGCTGCCTGTGGCACGTGGGGCCTGCCAATTCTACATTTCGTTCTCAACGAAAATGGTCCATTAATGTGGTGTTGGCTGTATCGCTCAACACTGCGTTGGATTGGTGTCATGGCCGAGCGAACGGGTGCTTCTAGCACTGCATTAGAGCTTGACCCAGCAATCTTCCATGAAAAGCTTCCGATAGTAGTTTAGAATCCAGCATGCAAGCGATTTTCCTACTTCAAACGCTATCTCAGAATTGTGAGGCCATGTGTAGGTTGGAAGAAATTTGACGCCCGCTTGCGATTTTAGTTCTTTGGAGACGTGTGACATCGCCAGAGTGCTGTATTTTCGCGTTGCTGTAGGGATAAACTCGTTCATTGAAGTGTGTTGTCATTGTGTACCAGTCACCATCTAGTTGTGGCATCCACGAAATTTGGCAGCTGCGCAAAACTGCAACTCTGCAGCCTGTGTTTCAAAGAGTGTGCGGTTTTTCCACAATGCAGTTCGAATTAAACCCGCGTTCCTGTTTGGACAACATGATCATGTTTCACAAATAGCACGAGAATACACATTGCGCTTTGCTGTCCATGGTACATTGGAGGATTTTGGTTGCAGCGGCAATGTGCTTGTCAGATGAGACTGCAGAGAATGGGAGCCAGTGGATACAGGAAATAGCATTCTGGAAACTTGTGACCAAGGGACTCAAACAAGCCATTTTGTGAAGAGTTCGCCTGGAAGGTGCAAGAGCAGTGCTCTGCTACTACTGTGAAAAATGCGAGAAGCAAAGATTCAAATGCAAGTTCAACTGCTGTGCTGTAGACCTGAAGTGCTTAAGTGTCAAGATGTTACAAACACACAAGAGGTACATGCAAGCTCGGCAGCAACGAGGCCATTTCGGTACTCCATGAGTGGAATCCAAGTTGCTGTCCACAACCCCACAAACGTAAAATCTTCACAGGCACCCCAAAAGCTAGGTGTCCCACGTCCTGGCAATGCAACTGCCTGCCCAAACTGCCCCTCAACATGGACATGAACTGGGAGGTGGTGTTGCTGACAGAAATGAACTGCCAATCCGTGGACAAGAGATGCCTCCAGCATTAAACTGGGATCGAGCCGGGTATGCGGGCAATGTGCCAGCACTGGACCACTTCTGGGTTACCCAATCAACTCCCACGGCGGCAGCAATGCTGGGCGACCTCCAGCTCCGGCACTCCCGCGCCACAAGCGACCCCCTGGCGGCGCAACGGGCCAAGATTCATGCCCTGTCGAGGAGCCTCAGGTCGGCAATCAGGGACGATCTGGCGGTGGTGCACGGGGGTGGCTACGGGGCGGAGTTGGAGCAGGGTTTGCCCGCCTTTGATGCGGGTGAGGGCGCCCAGACGGTCGGTACGTCGGGCAAATCCTGTGGTAGGTGGCAAACTCCTAGTCTCTGCGTAGGAGAGAGTGTGGGCATCCACTGCACAAGGAAGAATCGCGCTAAGGCTCTCGGTGCCTTGCTCTGACCGCTGGCACTGGGAGCTGGCCTCGTATCTGCAGGGAAATCGTGCAAGAGCTGTGACGACATGTGTGACAATGGAGAGTGACTCTTTTCTTAGGCTGCCAGCAGGCAAACAGGACTTGCGATATTGATAAACCGCGAGGGCAATCTAAGCAACTCAATGTCACAAGTCGCTGTGTTTCCGGACGCAAATTGGCTGCATCCACTGAAGTGTTGAGCGGTTGGTTGTGTTGAAGTATGCAAGTTGTCCCTTGCTGAGGCACTGCTCAGTTAAGTGTGGTGATGAATTTTCAGCATTTTTTCTCCCTGCTGTACCTGATATGCTACTGGCTGGTCATAGGGAGATTCGTTAAATGTGCCCCATATGCAGGAAGGCAGGCTGGGAACTGGTCACTGATGACCCTTGTGTGAAAATGACAATCTACCACCCTTTCGATAGGCGATATCTGATCCAGTTCACAATCACACAAGTGTTCGTTCTCCTGACATTTGTTGTTCCTGTTCCCTGCCAACTTCTGGTTTTCAATTTCCATCATTCCTTTGATTCGTGTTCAGCATTGCAAGCACCCTAAACAGGATATGCATGCTTGGACAGAAGACAACAATTTGAAGGACTAGTGTGCCGTTTGGCCTGCAGCACGCGAGACGGTGTAGCAATTGGACTTGGCTGTCTTTTGTTGTCGTTCCAATCCTATCCTCAGCGAAAACACATCAAACTACTGTTGCCATACTGGAATTGCAAAGCAGGCCATACAGTGGAGTACCCCTTCTTGAGAGAGATGCATTGGGCCTTCCCTATTGCAGTGCCATAAGAGCCACCAACAGTAAGGAGCATGCGTGAACGCAACAATCAATAATGTACAATGTTGTGACATAGGTGCTAAGACATATGCAGTTGCCAAGTTGCCATGGGATTCTATAATTTGAATGTTTGCACTCAGATCAATTATCTTTGCTGTCTGGGCTTGCAGGGCCGCTGCCAGGATGTGAAAGGGACCTTCTCCAGGTCCAAGGGATGACTGGGACCCATGTTCTGGGCAATGGGTGAGTCAAGTAGTTTCCCTGCACATATGTGCTGTTGTTGCTCATCTGATATATCAACAAATATTGGGATTAGCACTCTGTCCCAATTGGCAAATCTCTTATGATTCAATTGCCTGAGATTTCATAATTTACCTGGGGCTGACAGTGTTCGTCAGACAATAGTAATGTCCGAGAGCCAACCTTAAACGACACCTCATTGCCCAGAGTGCCCGGTCGAAGGGCGTTGCCCAGATGATCATGCATTTATGCACATGTTCACCTGTTGAAAGGCAATTAACTGTTGCAAGTACGTTGTAGTAGGGGAATAAACATAGAAATGCAAACAAGCACATGTGCAACAGCAACAGCATAGTGCAGACACAGTTTCTCATGGATCTTGTTTGTTGATTTGGGAACGGTGTACCCTGCGACCCTGTCTGATGTTTCACAGTATAATGTTCATGAATGTGAATGTGCTTCCTTGTTCTTCTGCATGCAGTCGGATTATTTCAAAATGCCCACAACTGTCATGAACTGTCAGGGATAGTGGCTGGAAGGTGCACTGCGCAAGTGCTGGGCTGAGATGGACTGAGTTATTAAAATGTATGGCGCCGGCCTTGTTTAGATGTATGGCATTGTCGTGTGCAGGGACGTTCAGCTGCACATGACTCAAGTGGTTGCGGGTTTCATAATAGGTGAGAGATGGGATTTGGCGGCATTAGAGGACACTTGCAACGTATGATATCAATCAGAAAGTATGTGTCAATCAGACGGGAATGATTCGCCGGTCTTCACCATGAGATCTTCCATGAGACGCCTTGGATGATGCACGCATATTGCTTTTGCGATTGGTTGGCAAGACGAGGTCGGCGCCATGCACCATTGACAAAGCGTTGTCTGAGCCTGTACATTCGCAGAAGTGTTCCTCTGATATTCCTCACTGCTGAATTGGTCGCATTGCTTCATTGCCCTGTGAGAGGCTTTGCCCAACGCGTTCATGAGTAGAGGCAATCACTTGACTTGATCCCATTTTCCCAGAACCAGAGTGGCTTCCCAAGTATTGTTTTGGAAGAAACAAAGCAGGCACACGTTTCGGAGCATTGTTGAGGGATTTAGTTGCCATTACCTGGCTATTTGGGTGAGTGATATTTGTCATGCTTTTGCAAATGATGTCAAATCGATTGGGAATGCCAAAAACGCTCAAGCAATTGCCTACCTTTTCCGTCTCTATTCCAACTCCATCAAATGTTTTCTACTGGTAAGAATGACGAAAGGAAGCGCAATCGCCTACATATAATTGCAAAATCGTGAATGCCAATTGGCATTCGCCTTCGCCACCACAGCGTTCGTGCACGCTCTTGTGAAGTTCGAAATGGCTCAAGCACGGAACCATGGAAAACAACTTTTGCACATCATGCTGCTACGGAAATGAGCTGTTTGAATTAACACGCACCTGCAGCTTCCTTCAGCAATCGGTCATGGTCTGGGCGCGGCTCCAATCAAAGGCACGAGCGCTCCTGTGCCGGTGTCCTAATTTGCCGTTCTTCTGCATTGCCAAGGCCCACACGGAGTCTCCATTCACGGCGTCGCCAACCAGACTGGCGCTAGAATATCGTCCTGGACGCACATCTTGGCTAACGAGCGCGTGTTCGTCATAAAGGTGAACTTTGCCGTCATCACTTTCCTCACGCAAAGCAGCGTAGGCGAGAAAGTTGCGTCCAAACTCGTGCCTTAATGGGCAAGAGTTTTTGCCGCACGTGAATTACGGAATATGGACGAGGTGGACGAGGTGGTCGCAGCTTACATTGCGAAGGAGGGCTGAAGTGCTGGCAGCGGTAACGCCGCTGGCGGACTGCGCATTCGTCTTGAATCTGTTCCTGCTGGTCGAATCGTTGTAAGCGAGTTTTTGAAGCTGTGAGACACGCACGATGGTCACACGCAATGTGCTAGATTGCATGCTTGGCGATCGAAGACAATGCGGGCGTTTCCGCGCAGCGACATAAATTGCCCATACAGATCGTGATAACAAGATTAGCTCTCGCGAGCACCGCGTGCTGATTGGTTGGATGCCTTCCCAGGGAAGTCCCAATGAAAAGGCCCAGGCTGTTCGGATCATCCTCATGGCAGTGCAGCGGTACAAGGACCTCACTGAAGGGAGTCAGCTGGGTAAGATGATGCAATGCTTCGACTTACGGACAATCTAGTTATACAATATAGAATGACGACAATTGTAAAGCACAAAAAAAATGCTTCATTGTAGTTCGTATTGCAAGGGCAGCGGGGGTGGAACCTGGGCTACTGTGACACCGGCGTCAGGCGCCAGGCGGCGATTTCTCCGTTTTGCTGTTGGTTTGTTGTCCAGCGCGTTGCATTGGTTTTGCATTGTTCCCTTTGGTTACACTGTTGTGCTCTTTCTCACTGCCACCCAGCTGCTCGCTTGTTCCGTGCTGCAATGCACCGCCGCCGCTGTGCTGAACAACATCCAATGTGCAGTGAGTCCTCTGCCGTGGTCCAGCGATCTCTTCACCAATGCCACCGGCAACAATCGCCCATTTCATGAGGCTGACGACCATTCCACCTGCATCCTATAGTGTTTAAGTACTGCAGGTTGTGCCCCAGTTCTGCTGCATCAGCAGTCAAATTATAAGTGCATTCTGGAAGCGCAGTCGTGTTGTGTGGGCCACTAGCTTTACCTGTGGGTTCCCCTCTGACGCAGGTCAATCGGTCCATCCAATTCAGATGGTGGAGGGCGTGGAATTCCTGTACAGACCGCCGCCGAAGAACAGGGTGCCCCACGCCGCGTCCATAGGCGTCTTCATCAAGAAAGATACTTAAAGCAATTATTTTGTTGCCTCCAAGCGAATGACATCAGAACGTTGCATCGGGCGGTTGCGCCTGCCACGAGGGTGCGCGCTGGCGCCGCGATCCACCGAACTTCGTCGGTTCGTCGGTTCGTTGAGTCGCCGGTTCGTCGAGTCGTCGGTTCGTCGAGTCGTCGGTTCGTCGAGTCGTCGGTTCGTCGAGTCGTCGGTTCGTCGAGTCGTCGGTTCGTCGGCGCGGCGTCGGTGGTATTGCCCGTGCCTGAGAGCCCGGGGCCTCATTGGAGGACGTTTTCGGAGGGCGTTGCCAGTTTTTCGTTTCAAATGCATGATCAGGGGCAAGCTTTTGGTGGGCGAGTCTAGGGGAACTCGATGGGTTGTCGGGATTTCTCCCTTGGAAACTAGAAGGAATTGAAGGGAGTCAAATTAAAGGGAATTAAAGGGAGTCGTCGAATTTCTCCCAGTACAGTGGAAACTCAGGAGCAAAGGGGAATTCTTGAAAGTCAGGGGTGTTGCAAGCCCACGTGAGAGTTCTGTGGGAAGTGAATGAAGTCGGGGAATAGCGGGGAAGGGAAGGGGGGGAGGGGGGGGGGGTATATACGGGAAACTGAGAACCATCTGAGGTTGCTTAGTGCCACTACAAGGGAGATTGCCGCATTTTTCAGGAACTTGCATGGGATTGAGGATGCGCATCGACGCTTTGTCGTGCTCGCAAGTCGAAAATTTGTGCTGCTGAGGTGCAGCGGCGAATGGCATGGCGCGGATATCGACGTTGTTTCCGTGGACGACGGCGCTCACGGCGCTGGATGCGGAGCACGCAATGCGATGCGCGATCCCTGCGATGCTGCTTTGGACAAGTGGTTGGGATGGAAATTGGGGAACGAGGGGGCAATGATCAACAGAACTGCTGTGAGCCAGTCGCGGTAGTGTTCCCATTTTTTGGCACTCGGGTCTTGGGGTTGAGTGCCAGTTTTGCAGTTTCGTTGGGGGGGCTTGTACTATGGAATAAATGTGTGTCAGCTCTTGAGGTTGATGGTTTTGGGGGGACGAACGGTTGTACAGTATGTAATGCCGGTGTCGGCATAGTGCGACGGAATCGATGGATGTGACTGATGTGAACTGCGATTGACCGTGAGGTTGAGGCCCGGCAGCTGGAGCGTTGAGCACGACGGGATGCGTGGCGACAGCCGATTGACTCATGTTGGGTTGTGGGCGTGCGGGCATGAAAGACACCAAAGCGGAAAGATTGCAACCCCATCCGTAGATGTTCACAGCCAGGGCGCTTGAGCATGGCGAAACGGATTTCGCCGACTGAGAGCTCAATGAGGCAAGATGCGTTGTGCCATGGCATTTAGGGGTATCGCGTGTGTGGCATGACACGGCCGTGGCAACTTGTTCTGCAGTCGCGGCGACGATTTTCAGCGTCATCAGCCGAGGCGGAAAGCTCAAAAACTTCAGACGGGATGTAGGGGGCGACACGCTGCACCGGTGACAGTCAATCTGGAGTATTACAGAAATTGCCAATGTCCACAATATGGAAGATCAACACGGCGGCTGCGACCACGGCTACCTCTCCTTTCCATGCCGTGCTTGGGGAAGAGCCGCCGTGATTTGAGCAATGAAATAAGCTCCTCGTCAGCGATGCACAATTTTCATCCTCTTGGTCGACCAAGAAATCAACTTCCTGACTGATTTGGTAACGTCGAAAGAAGACGATGTCGTGCGGGTGTCCGTGCTTTGAATCGGCGCCCATTTCTTTGTGTCCTTTTTGGCCGCGCACTTCGGTTCTCTTTCCTTTCCTCCGGTTCAGCGGAATCAAGCACCCTCGATGGATTGGCATGGGAATTTGGCCCCCTTGCTTTTGAGGGGTTCCCAGTGGCCAAGTGTGTGAGACCGTTTCTGCTGGCTCCAAGTTCCATTCCTCCGTTTTGATTTCGCCTTGGGAGAGCGCTGGCTTCAGTTAGGCATGGGATGGTTGATGAAGTGAAGAACGAAGTTGGGGACCGAACAACAGGGATGTTCGGTATTGTGAAGTCTTAGCTGATAGCTAGTGGGTATATTTGATTGGGGCGAAACGGGAGCTGCTGTTAGATGGTGGTGGACACCACTGTGGTCGTCTTTTGTAAGAATGCCGTGGAAACACGTGCTTTGGACCGAAGAGGCCGGAAAGACAGAAAAAGAAACTTGTCTGCAGATTTCACAGTCATTGCACGCCGGCCACAGCCGCGCCCTTCCCCTTCCGTTCCTCACATCCACCTACGCACCACGCCCAGAAATGGAACACCAGGTCCCAAGAACCGCTTGCAAGGCGCTGAATTGAAGAATCGTAGAGCGGGAACAGGTATCCGCTTCTCGCCATGAGAGTGTGTCAGAATGGAAGCACAGCCCAACAGACAGTCACCGAAGAGAATCTCCTAAGCTTGAAGCTTATAGATGCAGTACCCAAATGGGGCAAAATGTGATTGTGAACAGGGCAAAATGTGATTATCGCTTCGTACTTGGTACCTTGGACTCGAGCCAGTTTCTGCAAGGGTCGCTGCACCACCAGTATGACATCAGCGTCTGCGTCAAGTAGCAAGCGACGCTGCTTGTAGCAGCCGTCAAGAAGCAATATATAGAGCAGGCGTTAAGAAAGGCAAAATGTAACAGTAAGTAAAGCAGGCGTTCGGAAAGGAGCCACTCACAGGGGCAGCGCTTCAGATGTTCTCCACACGTTCGCCTCTGCCCTGGCCTGGAGGGAGAGATGTAAAGCTGGAGATAAAAGTTGTCATTGGCGTGGCAGTGGAGCCCGCCGTGTCCATCATTGTGCGAGCCATGCTGGTGGCAATTGCCGCGAACACTCCAATAATCTCTGGTAATGTGCAACGGTGTTCACAAGCATCGGACACTCTTTTGGGGCTGCTTGGACACAGTCTGCGCATGTCCGCCGGACATGTTTTGAGGCGCTCGACACCTCTGAGGCGATCCTTTCCCCATGGTGTAAGTTTCTGCATGTGCCTTGCTGCGTGACGCACTGAGGTCGGTCAGATAGGGAATGGCTGCGTGGGTTCTTTTTGTGGCGACTTTTGCGGATCGCATGATTGCCACTCTGGAGCAAGGCGTTGTCAAATATCGAGCAACATCCGTCGTCGGTTTGGATCGACCACATGACAGATATTATCAAGGGAAAATGACCAAAGGGGGTCTTCTGTGAGATATGTTGACAGAAGGGGGTCCTCTATGACAAAAGGGGGTCCTCTGCAGGGGTGCATTTGACAAAAGGGGGTCCTCTGACCCATCCCCTTTACATTAGGCGCGTTGCTAGACCGGCACTAGACCGGCGCCAGACCGATGCCGTACCGGCACCGGTCTGGCGCCAGACCGGACCACGGACCTACTAGGGGCGACCCCTCTGGGAAGGCGCAGGGAGCACGCAGCGGTCGGAGCTGTGGGAGGCAGTCGTACCGATCGGAGCTTTGGGGGAGACCAAACGGCGATTGGAGCTGCGGGGAGAGCAAGCGGCGACCGGAGCTGTGGTGAGAGCAAGGGCTGATCGGAGCTACCTGGGAGACCAAGTGGCGATCGGAGCTCCAGGAGGGAGTCGCAGAGATCGGAACTGCGGCAGGGAGCATGCGGCAATGGCGACCACAGCCATGGCAAAGCAAAGCGAGGGGTAAAGGATCAGGTAAAAGGTAAAGGCCAACAATGGGTTGGTGATTGGTCAGATAGCTGAGGATCCTCTTGCCATGGCAGAGCCTCTCTCGGCGATCCTCTGTGGGGTCGCTCCTAGTACGACCGGCTTGCTGACCGGCGCCGGTCTGGCGCCGGTCTGTCAACGCGCCTAACGTACAGGGGGCGGTCAGAGGACCCCTTTTGACAAATGCACCCCCACGAGGATCCTCTTTTGTCATTTTCCCTATTATCAATCACATCACCAGCTTGGGGGACGGCATGACCGTGACCTGCGCTGTTGTAACTAGCACTGATTGAGCATTATTAACAGCTGGACGCATAAAGCAGTGATGAGGCATTAGAAATTGCGTTGAGGACGTTGATAACGGACTGAATATAAGAGACAGAACTACTGTTATCCCTTTGCTCTGCTGCAACCCCTTGCCGTATCACAGGCCCCAGTCAGGGGTCGCCAGCCCTCGACCCTGCCTGCCTTCGTCAGCCGCCACGCTTCGGTGCAAGTTGGTCTATCATTAAAGGCACATCAAGCCATCAATCCACATGTCAGATTGCCAGGTGAAGCGAGCGGCAGCTTCACAACACCCCACGACACCAAATCAGGCCTGTCCGCCACCTCACTACTTTCGTTTTTCTCTATTTGCATGATTCAATCCTCCAATAATATAGTTTCCTCCCTGAACATGAATGCTCCCTACCCTTCACAACACCCGCTGCTCCCGCACGCTCGCTCCCCTGCTCCGCACAACCCCTGCAACATTAAATTCTATGGGACATACAACACCCGGCGTGCGTGGACGGGCGGCTTCAAAACAACAGCCACAGCTTCTCAAGCGAATGTGTCGCCTGCCCGTAGTCAAGAACCACAAGCAATCGCATTCCCGTATAGTACATTGCGCTCCTGTGCAGCCCAGGCCGTCCCTTCAATGCCACACGAACGCCGTCACCGTTAACAAAATGGCAAAATCGCGATGAGCGCATCCTGACGTCGCAGCTTATACAATCTGGCTTGCAAGTTGCGTGCATCGTCGAGTCGTTTGCAAGCATGAGCCCCAGGTCCTCGTCGTTCACCAGAAGTCCGTGCCACAGCTCACACAAAATCTGGCTGGTTGATGGCTGTCTTCAACCTGTGCAGCGGGGTTCGCAGGGAGGATCGAATCAAAAAGGCGACTCGAATCAATGTTGTCCGGAACCTTGTAGGCCCGAACAAGAGTCACACTTTGCGGAATGCGCACCCTTGCCACCACAGCAGAGAGCAGTGCTTTTGGACAAGGAAGCAAAATGCGTTCTTGGCAACGAAATACGCGTTGAATACACGATGGAATTGGTGGCGGCGGTTCCATAACGACTGCCATGGGGTAATACAAGTCCAAGGCGCGTGGCATATACTGTCCCACCCGGCTCCTTTGAAATGGGCGGCTGATGGCCGGAAACAAAAACATTCTCATAAAACAGAACATCATGCCAAAATTCTGGGCGCTGCCCCGTAAACTCTCAAGTCAGACATAACGAGAAGAGATACATCATCTTTGGCATGAAAAGCACACATTGCAGTTGGCAGCCCATTACCAAGAATTCTGATGCAACGGCTGTGATCCATAATATTCAACGTAATTTGGCTCCAAGAATTCCACACTTGTGCCTACCTGTTCCACCTCCGTCCCCTGGGGTTGATCCTTCTGGGCGCCTGGATGATGTCTGGGATGGGCAAATAGGCAAAGTGGGTATTGATGAGGCCGACAGTGATGCCTGTGTATGCTGCAAAGGCAGAATGCACGGCGCCCTGCCCAAGGATCTTGCAGTACACACGATCGCTGCTGATAGGCACGATGGCGCGAATCATGTACGTGGGGTCGATGTACTTGACATCCACATCATCCTGGAGATGTGTCACAGACACAGCAGTGTTGCAATAACCCCACATACCTAGTGTAACAACACTTTCACTCTTGGCACTTCGTTCCTTCACGAGTCTGCATAAGTGGTCGTCTGAGCCAGCGAGAGAAGGTGCAAAGCTGGAGGAGGAATGGAGCGCTTTCCCCCGGTCGTGGTATCGCAACACAATGTGCGCAAGGATGTCAAGTGTCCAGTGAGCCTTGCACACGCCCCAGGCCGCTATCTAAGCAACTGTTCAGAACTGTGTCCTTATGGTGTTCAGGGTATGCCTTACAAGCACAAGGCAACTGGAATTTGCACCCAGGAAGCTTGCCACTCAACAGTGCTGAGCCTGGCTAGGCCAAAGGATGTGCACCAAAACCTGACAGGATCAACAGAAACGTGGATGGCAAGACCCATCCTCCTTCCAGGTGCCAGCAGGCGACGCCAAAACAGACATTTTCCCCTTGCACCTCCCCTTTCACAGCACCAAGGCAGTGCTGGTGTGCACACTATGCACCCCACGTTTGACAACTCTTCCCCAAACAAGGTTCTCTTGCAAGATCTTTTATCACAGCCAGGCTGATGCTCCTCTTTGAGCACATCAGGGACAAACACAGATTTCTATTCAGGCCCTTAACGTGCCACCAGTTGAAATTCAAGCAAATGTAAGCAGTACAGATGGTGCGCACAGAGCACACAGTACAAGCAGAATATGACAAAGCATTCACCAGCCCCTTGTCCAGTACACTGCTTCAACAAAGACCTGATGTTCTGGCACAGGCACGAAGCGCCATCCCCTCACCTCAAAGTATCGTTTGATCTCCTCCTTGAGGTATGGCCCTATGTCCTTCAAGATGGGGTTGCCGCTTGCATCGACGTCCCCAGTCTTGCCCAGCAAGTCCTGTCCACAGCCTTCCGCCACACAAATGACACAGTGGCCCTGACGTTGCAACACAGTCTCCACATAGCTCAGGAGCTTCCCGAGGTTCACAGGGATCTCAGGAATGAGGCAGATGTCGACCACACCTGCGAAGATCCACAGCTTTCCAAAGTGAGAAGAAATAAGTGCATCCAACAAAAGTGCGTGAAATAGAATGAGGAATAAAAATGAGAGTGAATGCACACTGGTGATGGCACATGGCTCTGCCAAATTCTTATCACAGGCAGTGTCAGGTTTTCCAGCGATCTACGCAGACTGCAGAGTGCTTGGAAAAATGTGTACCCTTTCCAAAGTTAAGAAAATGCAGCATATCATACAGTGTGGGTTGAGCCCCACAAACACAGCTTCACTATCATCATACGAAGAACAAAAAGCCACACAATTTCTAAATGCTGCCAACTGTGCAGCAAGGTGTGCAATTGCCTTGCCATGAATGCCGTCCCCCTGCAGACAATCTGCAATAGCATGAGCAGTGGCAGGGAACGCATGGGAACAAAATCGACATACTTGGACAAACAAAGGTGACAATTCTAAACAACAATTTGGGGTTTTACTGCACCGCAATGATAAAGCAGAAATCCTGGGCAAAAAAGCAGCAGCATCGCAAGGACAGAACTGTGCCAAGGGCAAACAGGCGTGTTGTTATGGAATCTTCCAAATATGGGATCTTTAACTGCTCATGCGGCACCTGGAGACCAAGGCAGCCACCGCAAAGCAGATTGTATAATGCGCACTGCATAATCAACAGAGCACTCCCTTCAACCATGAGCACCACACAAACATGGTCACATTGTTGTGGCAGTGTGGTGGGCACAGGTGAAAACTGCAATGAACCGTGTCTTTCCACTCTGCTAGGGACAACACAATTTCAAGTCCCATGTCTTCTGTTTCACCAACCAGTGTATCAAACGGAGCAATTAGTGCACAAGCACATGTTGCCCCTCTTTCTCCCAGCCCAACAAACGCCTACCATCCAAAAAAGCCAATGGCACCACACAAAATGTGCAATCATCTTTCCATAACAACACAGTACAACAACACTGACTGCCCTCCTTGAGATAGAAGGTGGCATTTTCAACAAAAAGCAACCTGTGACACAATGGGTTCCAATTTTCAGAGCAAATCCTGTGAAATGAAACCCTCTTCTGTTCCACAAAAGATGACACTATGGAGAGATCGTCAACAAGGAAGTCACTCGCCTACTCTCCCAGAACAAGAGGCCAATCTGTTTGTGGAAGCTTGGCCAGTTGGGACAACCTATGCTGTCCTGTTTTTTGGGAACAGACTCCAACGGGTGCTGAAGTTTCTTGGGGCAAGCATAGTCTCTTGCATTCCAAGTGCACCCAGAACCCTGAACCCAAACTACAAGAATAACAGCGATTGCAGAAAACAGTTCTCCAGCATTATTGCATTGTTGCTTGTGGCTCCCACCTGATGACATGGATGCCTTGGTGGCGATGAAGCCGCTATTCCTTCCCATCAGTTTGACCAGTCCCACACCCCGGCGGGTACTCCGTGCCTCCACTTTTGCTGCCAGTAGGGCGCGCTGGGCCTCATCACACGCTGTGTCGTAGCCAAAGCACTTGTCAACCTGTTCAGCCAGCCATTGTTCTCCTGAGACAGTCGCCCGGTGCACATTGAGGTGTTGTTCCACCCACTTTCAACATTCTCTGCACTCTCCCAAAAGGCATGCTTGCTGCATATTGCAAACCAGGGTCCGCATTTGAACGAGTGGTTGCCCTTCGTGGTGTCAGGATTGACTTGAAATGACACTGCTGTGTTCTGTAGGGAGCAGCGAAATCTCACAATTGGCAAGTATGCCATATTGTATTTGCAAATTGCTTCAAAAGTGTCACATGTCCACCCCCTGTTGGTGAACATGAGCATGCATCCACCACACAAGTCTACTCCACATCCTTTTGCATTGCAGAAAGACAACATAGATGGCAGAAAGAAGTTTGTTCCCATGGCAAGAAAACCTGCTTACAATCAGGATGTCATTGTCGATGGACTTGGGCACCGCAACCACAGCACACACGACACCCCGTCTCTCACATTCTTCCTGGATCGCATTGGCTGCAGCATTGCCACCCTTGCCTCCAACCACGAAGAGCATATTCAGACCCCAGAGGTCGATGCGCTTGACAATGCGCTCAACATCTGCGCCACCCCTTGATGTGCCCTGGGCAGGAAAGAAGCCAGTCCCGAATCCAAGTGAAAGGTGCCCTTGGGCAGAAAGGAAATGTGCTCCTCTTGACACATTACAATTGGGCCCGTGCTGCTCCTGGGAGAGGATTGTCAACTACCATTTCCTTACAGTGAATCTTGATGTAGAATTGGCCAGGATTCTGGATTTCGACTCAAGGATGTGAAAAGCCAAAAGTTGCCCCGCATCGCCATTTGGATGAGACATGCATTGCTTTCGTGGACATCGCCATGAGCAAAGAAGTATGCGCATTGGGATTCTAGCGGCCGGCTTTCCACTGTCTTTATGGACACTGTCATGGGTGAAGAAGTTTGCAGGAGAGAGTAGCCTGGATTGAATAGTGTAGAGCCACAACTCGCACTCCACAAGTCAAGCAGGTTCATAAACCAATGGATTGTACTGTGCAAAACTTGTTCCTCCAAGATGCAATGGTGGCAATCGGTGCATTCAACACTTTTCATTTAAACTTGCGACACTGTGTTCAAACCCCAAGCCACACCTCAACTGGAAACGCTATCAGCTTTCAGCAAGATGTTCCAAACCTTAATGTCACCGCAGTGCACAGAGACTGAACAGTCAGGGAGAAACAACCATGTCAGCCTCTGGCACTTGTAAGTGCTCAGTTTGGCTTCATACTACTTCTACATGTGACCCCACGATTGAGATCTCTGCAGATACTCCTTGACACACTGGGTCAAGGTTGCCTCAGTCACAACTCTAACTTGCACATTCTGGCCTTTTTTTCTCCTCGATTCAAGATCAGCGAACAGGCTTGTTGAACAGTTTTAACAGGTGCAATCAATAAATTATGGAGTGGAGTCAGTTTCACTGGATCCAATCCATGGATGCGCACAGCGCTTCAGTTGGGCACCCACCAGCATCGTCCCTCCTCTGAGGTGTATATCGTTCACCAGCTCCTTGTGGAGCGTGATGGGCCTTATGGAGGGATCGTAGAAGCCCCGCAGGCCATACTGGATGCCGATAATGTTGTCCTCCGCCACACCATAGTCCACAAGCTTGCTGACGATGGACTGGATGACATCATTCAGGCCAGGGCAAAGCCCCCCACAAGTGACGACTGCAGCGCTGACCTGTCCCGATCGAAATGGGGAGTAAGTTCGTTGACTGTGGTTTGTTGAATGCGACACAACACAACACACCCCGGCACCTGTAAGGCTATATCAGGCATATGGCCAAGGCAGAGTGTCCAGAACGTATCATCCCTACCAGTGGTCAAGTCCATAATTGCTTCAAACTAGATCAACAGGATGGCCGCCAATTGGCGTTGTAGCATTCTCATTGATATCCTGGCCTCTCTACCAGTGTGCAGGAAATAAACCCCTTGAACGAAATACATTGGTTTCAGCAAAACCATTGCTTCGGCTACTTGAAGTGCATTGTGATATACTGTCCAGTTGGGGCAGAAGCAGGTGGCCCACATTCAACAGCTGCTGATGCTCAACATTGAACTCTTCCAAACTTTTCAGTATGAGGCACTTTGGCCAAGGAACCATACGCAATCATTGTCCTTGTGGATGTCTCGGTATGTGCTTGGCAAGGTCAATCAAATGGAAACCAGTGGACAATACAAGCACAGTATGGACCACAAGTACTTTGGTCCACATCCAGACAAGCAGCACAAAGTGTCACCGTATTGGCTTGTACCCCTCAGTTGCATATAGCCAAGAGACTTCCTGATCAATTTCCAAACACCAGGCAATACAACAATTGGAGATATGCAGCAAATGGATTCAGCTGCATTTGACACGGGAATCGATGCTTGGAGCATACCCAGACTTTCGGCACGAAAATTGCCCCCACATGGCCCCATTCTTGTTAGTGGCAGGGCAAAGTGTGAATTAAAGCACACCTATATCCAGGCAAAAGGTCTATACTGCAGCTGCAGCAACTGTGACAGGAACAACTGCCATGAACTTATCTAGTTTCATTGTACTTTCACATCGTTCTTTTTGGCCACTGCACAGCCCTTGGACAGTTGTGCATGGCAGTGGCATTGATTGTCTGTCATCCTTTTGCAGGACACCATCCAAGCCTTTCTTCGTAAGCTGTGTGGAATCCAAGCAGCACAGTGCCCTAAAGGAGGCAGCGTTGAGAAAACTGCGATATGGTCTTACATGACCACACTGCTGCAGTGCTACTACAGCTGCTGCATTCTGCTCGCAGCAGTTGGCATGCCACAGTCCACCAGGCAGCGCAAACTACGTGCAGGCAAAAAAGCAATATTCACAAGCAGTGCCCACCTCACTTGGCTCAAAGTAGATCGTCTTTCTAGGCCCTGATCGAACAGCGTACTGTGGGAGAGGGTAACACAAGTCTTCATCAAAAGCCATGTCCTCAATGCCATGGTCACAGTCAGCTGCACAATTCCAGCGAGCATGTTAATGAGCAATCACAACTTGTTCCAACATTTATTGATGAGGGAGCTCTGAAATGGAATGTGCAGGACTGGATGCAGTTCAGTGTCCTGTGCAGGTTGCCCTTGACCACAATTCGTCGCACAAAACTGCCCGCCTAAATCGACTCCCCATACATTGTGGCAGCGCGCTGCATCAGTGTTTCATGACATAGACAGCATCATCAGTGCAGGAGTTTATATTTGGCAGTGATATTTTCTTTGGGATGTGGAGGTTGCCAGTAGTACTAGCACAATTTGTGACACAAGCAGTATACGCCATTTCAATAAATATCAGAGCATTCAACTGCGCCTGCAGCATTGAAGGCAGGCAAGGCTGCATCGCTGTGGATACAAAGTTCAGAGTATGCAGAAGGGTACAACTTTCCAGGCTACACAAGTAGATTGAGACACAACACCAAAGATACAATAACGGACCATGTAATAACCTTGTAAGAGGATTGCCCTTTGTAATTTTGAATCACAGATGCCAACAGAAGGTGACCTGACACAAGTGCTTGCATGCATTTCCCTGCCACCACTGAGAAGTGCTGCCTCAGCAATCGCACGCATCCATGCGTAAGTCAAGAACAGCATATCGCTTACCCATGGGAGAAGGGTGGGCAAGCTTCACGGAGTGGAGGTTCACTTTGTCATCATCATCCACTGCACAAAAGCCAATGTCTCAGTAACAGTGAACAAAGCCCCCAGTCCCAAGTTCATTGAACTAAAGTGAACACATAACTGAACCCAACAGCACTGGATAGAATCAAACTGGCATTCCACAGAAGCATATTTGTACGGGACAGACACATTCATATGTGCCCTGTGAGGATCACCAACTTCTTTTCTTTCTTATTTGCGGCCAACCACCAGCCCATGGACAGCTCGGTACGGACAGGTAATTCTGAACACAAGGGAAACAGGCACACGTTGAGAGAACAGCTGGCAACATCGCCATGAGCGCATCTTTAATGGTGGGTGCTATTGTCCTGGCGGTGCTATTCGATTACCCAAATAGCACCGCAGGTCATAAAACCATCATTAACGGTTGGAAGAGCAATACCACCCTGATGCTATTCGGCCCCGAGCGGTGCTATTCGGGCCTTGAATAGCACCGCTCGAGGCCAAATAGCACCCCTGAATAGCACCTGGTGCTATTCGAGAAGATGATTTTTGCAGCCGTGTCCCCTGATGCTATTCACAATAGCACCCACCGTTATAGATGCGTGCCGGGCGCAATAACCCCAGTGTTATTTGGCAAATGCCACACTAGTAAGGTGGCACAGCAGCCAATGGGAACCATTCCTGTATAGCACCACCAGTGGTGCTCTTGCACCACAGTGCAATACCATGGACTGATAAAGATGCTTTATGTCTTACAGGTGCAAGAGCAGTGATTCACAGCACAGTGCTTTGCCATGTAATAGCGCCTGCAGCTCAATGCTTGCACAGTAGTACATCAAGTTACGGTGGCCATGCAGAGGCCCTGGAGGCACAGAGCAACCAACACTGTGGATGCTTGGACTTGATATAGGCCATGGCCACAGAAAAATAAATGCTGACAGCAAGCTCACTTGTTCAGCAGATAAGGCACAGCGAACGCAAGCTGATGCGGACCAAAGACACTGATCTGTCTTGTGAAGGCATCTGCAACCCAAGAACAACTCAACAATCTGCACTGACAATGAATTACAGCCACTTTTTAACAATTTGTTTCTGGCACGAACTTGACTGCTTAGCAGCTGTCAACTATAGGTACAGAAGTGCAGCTGTTTTGGGAACGTATTCCTCAACACGAATGAAACAGCAACCTACCAAAACCACCACCAGCGTTGTCATTCCAAGCAAAGGGGCTGTCCCTGCACCCACCATTTCGACTCCCGAATCACCAAAGGAGCTATAAAACCACAAAAGAGACCAAACGGCAACCAAACATGTAGGTTGCATGTATTCAAGTGCCAAAAGACAAACAGCACTGACTCCAGATAACAACACACAAGTACATGTTGCAGACAAGAGAATTGCTCCCTCAGACAGGCGGTGCTGGAGATCCTAGTTGATTTGCGCCAGCACCTATTGCGCTCGAGCAATTCCATTCTTGGAGAAAGAGGAGCGATCAACACAAGTAGGGCCTCCCAGCAACCGAAGTACAATACTGGTGTAGCCTTGAAGTGTACAGAACTGCTTGCATCTTGGCAAAGCTAAAAGGAACAATCTCTTTATCGACAGTACATTTTGTCAGTGCTCGGGGGCTGGGCAGATTTTCCAATCCTCATGCCCTCTGTTGCGTTCTGAGGTGCCTGGGCGTGATGCATCACTGTACAAAATATTTTTCTCGTTGCACATTAATTGTTGTCTACGAGTTGGCACATTATTTCTCCATATCAAAAGGACTTCAATTCTCGGTGGAACTTCATTCAGCGTTATGCCCATGAGTTTGGAGTTGAAGGTCAAAAACTAAAGTCAATCCATTCAGTACTGTGGAATTGGCTTCGCTCTGCAACAAGGGTACTCTGCCTAATAAACCTCGAACTTCCGCTCAGAAACAACGAAAATTTGTCCCGCGCCCAAAGGGGTCAGCGCTCACTTTTTCTTCCAGAAATCGACAGTTCAGGGTTTTGGTACTCAATGTTTCCGATTTTGGCCTCCTGCATTTTCGATGCCATTTCCATAACGAAATTTCTCTTTCAATAGACAACAATCAACAAAGAACAGCAGAAGCCAACTGAAGGCGTCAAACATGAACATGGCTATGGTGATAGTGGGGTTCAGCAACTAGCCATCAGAACGGGGAGCCAATTGCCACAACGACAGTCAGCCAGTCATCTTGAGCCATCCACCTTGATGGCTCAAGATGATTGGCATGGACTCCCCACAGCTCCCAAGGCCCACCGTTTCTGTTCGCTCCTGTCCCCAAGGGCCCACACACTTGATTATGTGACAGGTGCGCCATGGAGCTTCAGGTATCCCAACAATGCCAGCGCGAGGGTAGTGGCCAGGTCCCCAATCCAAACCTAACCCTAGTCCTTAATTCAATTCCAATTTCAAAACCCAATGGCTGCATGCTACTGCCCCCCACCTTGCTTTCAGGACGTCCCTCAGCGTCTTGACCTCCAGCGTGTCTGCGCAACCACCGAGAGATTCATCTCACCACATCGCCGTTCCGCCTCCCCCACGTTCAAGGCCCCCCCAAATGCCCATCACGGCCACCATCCCGTGCTTGCGTTCGAACACCATCAAATTCCCAGGCAGAGGCCCGCAAACCCGCTCAAGAGCGCGACGAGCACGGGGCGACAAACCCGTTTCCCCTCCGTTACAGACATTCTCCGGCACAGCAACCGCCCATGACGCCACACATCCGAGGTACACATCCTCAGGACACATCACCTCCAGCTCGCCGATTCCCTCCCCCCCTTCCCGCAGCCTTCCCTTCCGCTCTCCCCCTCTCACCACCCTCGAAACAAAGCGCCTGCGCTGTGTGCTCATCGTTTCGCATCGGAGACTCCATATCATCTTCTGACAGTGCGCAAAAGAGCCTCGCATGCACTTACTTAGGAAGGGGCACCCTTTGCATGACCTGTTTCCTTCTCGCTTTTGCAACAAATCTCACCCTCGACACGAAATTCCCAAAACTCTCCCCATGTGCCCCCTGCAGAAAATTCCCAAGAATCTCAAACACCTACCTTCCCCGCCCACGTGCCTTGTCGTACGCGGCGGGCCCACAGAATCGACCGCCGCCTCCCCCACCGCACCCTCCGTCGTGTTCTCGCTCACGCCCAGCCGCCACTGCCTCTCAGTGCCGCCATGCCACCGCATGCGCCCCTCCCCTTTCACCGATCCCACGCCAAGCCATCCCATTCGTGGCGGGCACCGCCATGGGCCCGTGGGCAGGATACCGTGGGAGAGGAACGCGTGGGCCATTCCCGCGGGGGGAGCTCTCTCTCAGGTGGGGGGTGCCTGCCTCGGGGTGGTGGGCTTCATGTGTGTGTTGGTCGGGTCGGCGGGAATGCCCTCAAGGGGCTCCCGTTTCGGGTGCCTTTGAGCCGGGAGTGTGCGGATCGGGATGTTGTACTTGAGGGGGGGGGGAGGCTGATAGTTATCCACGCCGGCGACTTGGTTGCTCGCCAAGGCGCTGTTGGGGCACGAAATTAGTCGCTCTGTCTTTTCCATGAAGATCCCTTCTTGTTTCGACACAACCTGAACCCCAAACGACTGACACACTGCCCCGCGTTGGCCTCGCCAGCTGAAGACGAAGGGATCCTCGCAGAAAAGAATGAAGGATGCTCGGGTCACCAATAATGAGCCCATTATGGCTCAATAATGCGCC